CCAGCGGCCCCCCCCTGGCACGCGCTGCCACGCTGGTGTTACCCAAAGCACACAGTCCGCTGCAAATCTTGCCGGTGCGCGCCTCTCACGGTCAGCAACCCGCCGCTGTCCGTAACGAGCAGGAAACCAGAACATGGACCTGCAGGAAGTGAAAGACGCTGGCCATCCGAAGCATCTCTGGCCGGCCGGGGCCACGGGGGGGAGCCAGGAGACACGCGCATACGGAACGTGGAACGTGGGGGGGCACGTGTAATGCGGGGGGCGCGTGTAACGCCGAGCAGCGCGGAACGTAAACCTGGCTCGCGAGCCTGGTGCGCGTCTCTGCCGCCACCACAACGTTGTTGCTGCACAAACAAAAAACACACACAAGGGCGCGCGCATTGCAGAATGAAGTTGCTATGGCGCTAATGACGCGAGCGATTCAGGAACACGTTACGGTCCTAAAATAAGCAATGTCATCATCGGCCAGGCACCATTAGAGGGGTTTCAAAATCTCTGCCGGTGCTGAAAACACATCGCGTGGTTGATCTCAATGTCTGTTCTTTGCCCACGAGTTGCTGGGTTACCTGTATCTGTATCGGAATGTTTGGAAATATTCCTCCATAATTGCGTTGTTTGTGCACGTAGTTAAGAGTACCCGAAGACAATAAAATAACACATATATAACGGGACTCCAAAAATTCACAGGAAGATGGATCATGAACCCGCTTGCTGCACTACCACGCCGTGGTGACGTCTCAAAGCACTTAAGAAATTCTGCATTACCAGGGAAGCGTCAACACGCGCGGCACCAGAGAGCCAGCGTGGTTGTTTTAAAGACACGTTTTTCGAAGACAATCCCGACGCGCTCACAAAATGCACGTCAGGGGCGGTGGGGGGGGGGCACAAATCCCTCAAGCAAAAGCCCCGAGATGGACGGATGCGGCGGGCAGGCTTTGGTGAAGAGGGGCGGATTGGGCTCCCCCTGCCCCACCCAGGTGGGGGGGGGGGGCCTCGAGCAAAGTGAAAGTTTATATTGGGTGGGGGGGAGGTAAGGGAGAAGATAACGAAGATAGCAGGGAAGAAGAAGGGGGGACGGGAGGGAGGGGGCGGAGGGGGACGATGAGGGGAGGGGTTGGGAGAGGTGAATGTTATTTATTTCCTTACAGAAGCAGTCTGGCGCATCCACAACGCACGCGCGGTTCACCACGCGGAGGGATTAAAACGCAACTTGTGAAGAAGAAGAAGATGCGCCCCGAATGCGCTCGTCAGCACTGCAGCCGACAGAGTGTTTCATTACCGACCCGCCCGACGATAATTTCTCCGCCATTGTTTTTTTCTCTCTCTTCTCTCTCTCTCCCCTTGTATGGTTCCGCATCTATTAATAAAATGCTGACGCACAAACTTAGAAACACCACGCGCGCAGGTGAACCGCAAAGAGCTTAGCGCGAGCAGAAAATGCGCAATTTGGACGTCGCGCCGCGCCCGTTAAAACCGCGGCCCCCGGATCAAGTCGCGTGCAGGAGCGCCCATCGCGGCGTTTACGGGAAGCCGCGCCGGATTACCTAACGCGCGGAAATTTAAACAACGCCGTCGCCGCCGCCCGCTTCGTAAACGGAGAACCACAGCCGGGGGGGGGACAGGGACACGGTTCACGGTTCACGGACGCGTCGGGTGACGTGGCGGGAGAATGCGCGTTGAAGGGTCACCGAGCCGCACAATGCCGATAGCCGTGTCGCTCGTCGTGGGGTCGTGGTGGCTATCGCGGTGGCCACTCGGCGCGATGTTTGCCACTAGGTTATGGCGACAGTAGCGGCGGCGATCGGCAATGCAGAGAGAGAGTGGTTTGGCGCGGGTCCCGCAGCAAGGAATGAAATGGCGCACGCCCCGTGCCCACCGCCCCATGCCCACCGCCCCGTGCAAAATTACAGAAGGCTCCTCTGACTTCACTCGTTGAGAGATGCACGTCATGGTGTGTACGTAAAGCAATGTTTACAACCACGTGGCATAAATAAACGACTACTTTAACACGTTCACAAGGCAGCAAATTATCAGCACCTGCAAATAAATAACGCTTAAGCACGCCGAATAAATAAGCAGGCGGTACACTTCCTTCGCATATCTGGCCCTCCACTACAATAAGTATATTTTAACACATCCCATCAGCCGCATGGCCTTCTAGGAGTGCATCATACCCGCAGCATTGGTTCAATACAAGAAAACTCTGGACTCGTTCCAACATTCAGTCTCATTAGCAGGAGCCAGGCTTGCTTGAATCAACGCTGGTGAAGAGCACAATGTTTATAGGAAAGGATCCCTCTTCCCCGTTAGATATTGGATCTGAATAAAATATTAAGAAACAAAAAACATCAATCAGATGAATAAGAACACGGGCCCCAAAAGGCACCGTGTTAACGTAATTGTTAAACACGAGACGGTTAATTGCTCGGGCCCAAGCCACAAATTCATTACCAAGTACTTTCATTTTTTTTACAACAACTCCGACTTGGACCCCCGAACAGATGGGGGAGGCGCGGCACTGGCGAGCGGGCGCAGGTGGAGGCCGGCTCCACCCGGGCCCTCGACTCCCTGACGGGTGCCGTGGGGGGTGGGGATGGGTGGGGGGCATGCGAAGTGCGCCCATTCATTCTCTCCGGCTGACGGAGAAAACGTCGCGGCCCCCCGGCGCCGACTCGTTAGCCGCGAGCGACGAGCAGCACGAGGCACTGCACACCAACGCTACCGCCCGACCAAGACGAAGAGACGGCAAGGCCTCAATTAACGCGCGGTGTTCGCACCGCAACGCGCACTCGCTGGAACGCGGTTCTTCCAATTAGGGAACACTTGGCACACAACGCGGAATGTGCACCCCGTGATAGCGCGATTTCATTTGTGGCCAGGTCGCTTCTGAAAAAGGGCTATATAGCTCAGTGGGCCTTATACATTGTAAACTAAAAAATAGTTCGTGAGAAAAGTTAATAGAATCAGCGGGTGCTGGATCATCAACCAACCTGATTGCTGCTATACATTAAAGTAAATCAAATACAGCTTCAAATCAAGATTCAAATCAAGATAAAATATGTCTATTAGACATTAACACGGCATATAGAAGCAGCTGGTGTTGTGGGCAGTGGCCCTTCTTGAGAGGAGAGGTCAGCGGGTTTGCCGGAGCTGTCGTTGGAGATCCAACTTCCCAGTGCGGTGTCTCTAAATCTATGCAGAAAAGTTCACATGAAGAGCTCTAAACTGATCTGAACTGACAACCGCACCTCTTATTAGCACGGTTGGATACATATGGTGCGCAAGAGGTTCAACATATATACGTACATACGCTTCACATTAACAGATAGAGTAGCAAACAGAGAAAAAGTGGTTATATGGCACGGATTAAAACACGTATCGATTTTAAACAGTAGAAGTGCATCATTTGAGGCAGACCAGTCCCGTCAACTGGGGGTACACGGAAGGAATGCGCTGTGACGAGGCGGCAGATTCATTAGAGGCAATAGCACAGACGGCGAGTGCAACACATTTAAACCTCGAGTCAGAAAACCAAGGCAGAGCGCACGTGTGCTGAATGCAGCACTGTGCATTGCTCGTTGTCACGTGCCTATGGCGGGGGCCAGTCGCTCCATGGGCGACGTCGACTGTTGAGCAGCACTTAATTTAAATCGGCCGCAGACAGGCGATGGCCGGCATCGCAGCTGCCAACTCTCAGGGCAGCATTACGAACACAGGAATGGCAACACGGCACAATGCGAATTCACGCGGAATCTGAATGCCACCGCATCTCAAGACGCCGGACAGAAACCGTGGGTGTAATTGTTTTATAGAAGGAGAGAAAAAGAGAGAACACCGGGGCAAGGAGTGGGCAGCATGGACGGTTGAGGAAAGAAAGTTCCAGATGATGGGGGCAGAGGAGGAGGAGGATGCGTGACCTCCCACTGAGCCAAGATTGACTGGGAGGCTTTCGTGATACAAATTTGAAGACGACAGCATGAAAGAGCACGGCTTGGCAAAGGCACGTGTTTAGAAAACACACCGGGGGGGCTTGGCGTTGCACGGAGGTAATCCTGTGACTTAGTGGAGGAGGGGTTGGTGGATTGTACAGATGGAACCGCCTGTGAGACTCACCTTATTGAGTGCTCGTAGATGGTAGTACAGCAAGTAGGTTTTAAATATATATGTACACAGTTTATCACTCCCCTTATGTGTGTGTGTGCGCGTTATCTCCAAGCAGTGAAGCGGTTGTGTAGCGGTTAACCCGGCGAGACCCGGGTTCGATTCCCGTTCACGGCCAACACCAGTGACGATTATCTGAACCAGTCCTGGGCCTTCCTTAGGTCAACTCAGCCTTAAATAAGTACCTGGTGTGGTGTATAAACATCGCCACTCGGAACACAAAGGCGGTCGGGCGTGGTGCTGGCCACCCACTCCCTCGTGTACCGTGTCGGCCTTCGTAAGTGCTCGCTAACAGCACTTGTCCCAACAGTCTGTTACAGGCTATACGGGGGATCTTTGTATTGATCTCCAAGCATTGAGCGGTACACATTTGATTTACATCATCCCCCAAAAGGTGGATGGGCTGAGTCGACCCCCACCCTGACCGCAGCGCGAACTTGCAGTGTTAGGCTCGCGAGCGAGGCGACGGTCCGGTACAAGTCGGCAGCGTGAACCCAGGCGACCCCGCGCGGTTACAAGGTGAAGGCGCTCAATCGCGGGCGGCTGCGGCTTGTCAGCATGCCGCGGTAAATAAGGATACAGTCACGCACCACCGTGCCACATTTTAAAGGATTAAAACCCATAACTCAGCGGCCCGTCGTAAATTACCATTTAAGCCCCCGTAAGCCATTTAGGAAAGAAAAAAATATATATAAACGGCACCATTATATTTATAAGGGGAGAAGTTTCCGTCACGTTTCGCGAGATTCATTCGCGGGGGTCCCGGCAGGTGCCGCTGTCAATCCGCTCAACTCGATAAGCGCGTCGATGGGGGGGCACGTCTCTACAGGGCCACTGACCTATCGATAACCGCCTTGAGAAGACGAATTGGCGGCTGCTGCTGCCGCTTCACGGCGTCGCGTCGACAGGGCCGGGGCGCGCACCGCCTTCCGCACGCCAGCAGCGCTGTTCCCTTCGCAGCGGCTGGAAACACAGGAGCGGTAGAGACAACATCAAGACGGAGCCTCCCACCTCCCCTCTCTTAGCGATCAAAACTCCTCGTGAGATCGAGGCAGCTCGCCACCCCCCCTGCCCACAACACATCAGCGAAAGCAAGCATCCCTGTCAAACTGCCTGCGATATATATTATATTATCAGAAAAAGGTCTGTGCGGGGAAAAAAACGGATGGAGTTGAGCGCGGTTTTGCGGGTTGGGCTGCGTGGGGCCATATTTTCATCTCCGGGAAGATGCCAACATGAGTTGCGTGGCGGCGAGAGTCTGGGAGAATGAATGCATGCTCAACATGCGGCGCGAAACCTGGGCAAACACCACTTGGGTTACAGGCGGCCATGAAAGCGTGTACATGGGTACATATGGGAACGGTCGGGGCAGTACGACGACGAGACGAGGAATGACGATGTAGCCGAGAAAGAACGTCTACAGAGAGGTGTGATGCAAAGGTGGAAGTGTATGTAGGGCATGTCCCCTCAGAGGGTCACAGAGCTGGAGATGAGATGAGGGTGATTTCTGCAAGGAGACAAGAGAACAGTGGAAGAGGAAGCAGGTGGATCAGTTGGTGGGACACTGCGGGACAGTTGGTGGGATGGTGGGAGACAGACAGAAAGGACTCTGCACGAGAGATCGTGAAGACCACAAGAGATCGTGAAGACCACGAAAGGTAGAAACGCATCTGTCATGGGCAGTGGCTCTCAGTTATACGTGGACAACTCTAGTGAGTTGCGTAGCAATTCAGGTGGTGGTGGTAGTGGTGTTGGTGGTGCTGCTCTGCTTGCGTGCTTAACGCAATCCCTCAAGTATGGCACAAAAATGTTGGGGTGTTCGTGGGGTCCAGGGGAGGTCATTTTTCAAGAGGCAAAACGGAGCGGTTTATAATTAGACCCCGGCCCTTGGAATGATTGCTCTTGCTCACACGAACACTCCTTTGCCTCGCACTCGATCAATGTTCTTGTTTAACTGGTTGAAAAGGAATTAACATTCGTTATTATAAATCAAAGATCAATCAATGCCGTTATTTAAAAGAAGATGCAACCCACAAAGCAATTAGCTCTCAGCTTGACGACGTGTTCTGGGCAGTACAACAAATGTGAAGCTTTGTTAATGAGAAAACAGACGTGGAATTTATTGCCGAGCGCATCATTATGGCACTCTGGTGATATCACTCTTGTGCATTTTAATACATCAATCCGTGAACATCACTCGATCGCTGTACCAGAGCGCAGGCCCTCTTTATTTCCATTTACAAACAGATTCAAGCTCGTGTCACATGGGCCAGGACACACGCAGCCGATGTGCGCGCGTGTACCAAAGAGGCATTCGTTTTTAACTACATGCATCTTTAAACTACACGGGGCAAGCCAAAGCAATCCAAGTGTCAACACTGCGCAAACGGGCCCCGCGTTGAGAGAACACGATGACTCTAAGACCATCAACGCGTAAACACGAGTGCACAATTTGGCAGCCGATCAAGGAAGATGGGGCTGGCTCAAGGGCGGCCACATGGGCTCTGGATTTCGGCTCGCCTCTCTCTCTGCCTTCAGCCAAAGCCCAAATCCCATTTTCCTGGTGCCATGCGGTGAGCAGAGCAACATCGCAGCCCAACCACCTCTCTTCCCTGCGCGAACAAGCCATCTCTTCACTCCCCACAGCCCATTGTATGTCAATGTCATTGGTGAACTGAGGACAGGGGGCAGTCGGAAACGCACGTGTTCAGACGTCGCACACAACAGGAGCAAATGAGATGCAGGGCACACAGGAGGCGTGACACAGAGGGCAGAGAGGACACGGGGCAGACAGCACGCAGTACCCAGGGCAGGCAAGACAAAAATCCCCCGTACGGCCTTCACAGACTCTTGGAGCGAGTTGTGTTAGCGAGCACCTATGAAGGCCGGAACGGCACATGACGGGGTGGGTGGCCAACACCAATGCCCTTGCCTGATTTTATGCCGAGTCGACCTAGGGGAGTCCCAGGACCGGGACAAATAATCACCACTGGTGTTGGCCGCGAGCGGTAATCGAACCCGTGTCACCGGGTTCGTAGCGCAGCGTGCTGACCGTTGCACTACCGCTCCCAGGACAGAGCATACACAGAGCTAGGTCCAGGTCACACGAATGTGCAGATCACAGAGGATGGAGACAAACCACAAGACACAGGGGACGGGGAAGAAATACGCACAGCTACACAAAAAGACAGGGCAAAATAAAGACAAAGATTTCCCCGTTAAAGTCTTACAGACATCGGGAGCAATGCGGTTTGTAAGCACATGCTAAGGGCAGCACAGCACAGGAGGGGGTGGTGTGACCAAGAACACGTCCGGATGCCGTTGTCCTCCCTGCGTGTTTACGCATCATACCAGGTACTCGGATAAAACGAGGGGGGGGGGAGGGGTGGTAGCCATGGGACAGCTCCACATGCCGACCACGACCGGTGTTAATGTTCACGGCCAGGGAACCGAGCGAATGTTTGACTGGGATCGTAGCACAGCGCGTGAACCCACTGCGCCATCGTACTCCGTAAATAACGAGCTGGGTGAAGTGCACAGGAGAGTGAGAGTGGGCACGCACGAAGAACTCCGGGGGAATGTTCTTGATGCCGCACACTTTTTTGAATGCGTCAACACTTCCAGTAAATCTTTTTTTTTTAACGGGCGCGTAACGAAGGCCGTTTTGCGGCCACGTTAAAGCGCTCCCATGAAAGTGGACGTGTTCAAGTCACGCGTGAACGTAGGGGAATTGAATATGCACTTAAATGCGGGAAGCAAGTTCACACACCTTGGCATCAACTGTGGCTGTGGGGGGTCGAAGAGGCAAGATTTAGTATCTGAAACAAAGATGGGTACAACGCACGGCTACAGTGCAGTGGAGATCAGACGCGATGTGAACTGAAGACAACGTTCAGCCGACCACAGATGGCGGGGGAGGGCAGCTGTGAATTAAAGCTGAGCTTGAACAGGGCAAGGGAGTGTGAGCAGCTGGGATCACGAGGAGGTCCCCGGGAGTAGCAGAGGAGACAAGATGACAGGCCTTTGCATGGAGGCTGAGCAGAGGAGCAAGAGTTCCACGATGTCCGATGGAAATTCCAAACGACGTCGGTGAACTTTCGTAGAACTAGGAAATGTCGATAAACTGGGTCGTACTATGTCATTAATCAGCACTGTCATTCAGATTGGAATGATGTGTCTTTCTTGAAAAGACAAAATTGCTCATAAAATACCACGGTGGTGTCAGCCACTCAAATTTACATTTTCCTTCCATGCTGGGATGCCGATGGCGCATCAGTTTCACCTGTCAAGGCGCTCTTCCCCCCCTCCAACCCAGCTTAAAAAGACGCTCCAAGCCTGGGGTTGTCATTCAGACTCTGTCTTCTCGACAGACCTGTTCTTCACCTGAGGACGGCTGCTTGCGTTGTGGCCGAAACGTCGTGAGAATTATTTTATTATGTTTTATTTGTATTATTTTATTACTTCCCTTCTACGTGACTTTACCGAAAGAACCAAGAAGAAGAGTTTCACCTGCATCAACCGCCGCCTTATTCCATAGATAAGCCATATTTTACGAGACGAATAAATAACACCCTGTGTGTATTATTGTGATGATCTTGAATGTTTTAACCGTGAGGTTGACTATTTGGTGGAAGTGCCCAGGATCAACGGAGAGCTTTGGTTAGCCGAGTGGATGGCTCAGGCAAGGCAGCGGTGAGATGAGAGCGGAGAGGATCGGTGAATGGGCGAGAGCTTGTGGGGTATCTTTAATATCCACTTTACAGCAGATGACGCGCTTGGGTAGGACTGGGTTTTACTAACTTGGGCTAAACCCGTATTTTCATAGGCAGTCACTAACAGACAAGCTCTGGCTGGGGTGCACGTTAACACGTACCAGAGCCTCGCCAAAATGAAGGAAAAATTAATTTGCCTCTCCATTACGGTACTTACTGAGGGACGGTTGCCGAAAGGGACAGCCATCCCAAACGCGCCTTCTTGCGACACCAAGGCATCCAAGTGGTAATGGCTGCTGAGAGGATGGAGGTGGCTTCTACACTGTCACCCTGTAAGATCTCTTTCAAGCAGACCCCTGGGCCCCACAGGCCAAAGGCCCAGGTTGAACGCAGGATTGCACCTGCCTCCATGTCTGCCCCTACAGCCTATCCCCCTCCAAGATACTCCAAAACCTGGACCTTAAAAAGCTACCGCTCTCACCAGATTCAGTCTATGGTTGTATGTATGTTGAACCTCTTTTGCACCGTACGTGGCCAACCGTGCTAGTTGGAGGTGCGGAAGGAAGGACAACTAACTAAACACACAAAGCAGTTCTAAAGAAATGAGTTTTCAATCTAGAAGGAAGAGCGCTCCAGACGGCCGCAGAAATGCACCTCATAATAAGTGAGAATTGGTACGGTACACCAAATTCAAAAACTCGTGTCTTGTACTAGAGATGAATTGCCGAAGTTATCAACAGAAGGTGTATATCGGATAAATTGCTTATGCGGCAAGTGTTATATTGGACAGACAGGACGTAACATTAGCGTAAGACTAAAAGAACACCAAAGGAACATTTAATTCTCCCAAACACAGCTGTCAGCAGTGGCAGAGCATGCTTGCCAACAAGGACAATAAATAGATTTTGATAACGTTTAAGTGTTATGCAGAACTAATTATTACTAGCCAAGATTAGTTAGAGAATCAATTGAAATTGAGAAGAATTCAAAAAATTGAAATCGCTGTGATAACTGAAGACTCAGCGCAGCCTGGAAGCGTATTATTAAGTAATACAAAACACATATTGCAATTCCTTACAGGTGAGTCACATGCTAAGTGGCTGATTACTGATCTATTACATAATTGTATACAACTCCGCCTCTGATCTCGAATCCTGATGGAGTTCAACAACGATGACGTCATCCTGCACCATTTAAGACCGGAAGCAGGTGGATGGCTTCACTATTCTGGCAAATCGCCTGAAGATGCTGGATGTAATTTTCCAATGAAACGTCGTACTACTCGTATTGTAAATCTTGTGGATTCACTCTTCAACACACCGGTGGGCTAAAGGAGTGAACTATTTGTCTATGTCAATGGGACACATTTGTTACTCATTGGCCGTGTCGGGTGGTGGAGGGTTGCGACACATTAATAAATAACGCGATCTAACCCAAAAACCTTTATTATGAATAATACTGGTCGCGAAAGCCTACGTGTTAAACTGAGAAGTGCACCTGAAAGCGCACTATGCGGTGACCGTCTTTGTTCGATGGCCAGCCATAAGCCGCTGCTGCGTAGACGACCGGAGTTTGCGGGATGGTTGATGCTCCTTTGACAAGATCAGCCAGGGCTATGGAGCCTTGGCCTTGACCGGGGTATGAAAAAGGAGGAGGGCACAAGGATGAGAGCACGATCTCCTGGTTCACATGGAAATCTGAAAGCACCTTGGGGACACGAGATCTGCAGCACCGCCGCCCATGTCGTCCGAGGACACCCCGAAGGGAGGCTCACCCCTCCTCGCCAACGTAATGGCCGACATTGAGAGCAAGAGGCCAGCGGCTCGACCGGTGGCCTGCTGCAGACAGAGCGTTCATCAGCACCATGCGCAGATTCCATGGAGCCATTTCCCCCTCGGGAACACGATCATCAGAATGTCGTCCGAATATGAACACACGCTGGTGTGCAACATGCTCTGCAGATCTGCAACCACCAGCACGAGAATCTTCGTGAAAATACTCGTCTCTTCTCCTCCGGGCCACATCCCCATCCCCCCCCCCCCCCCCCCCCCGTCTTCTGGAGAGCAGAGCTGAGAGGGTCCGAGTTATCTCCCGGTGCCACTATGGTGCCACCAACTGCCTCCCAAATGCCTTGGACGCTGTCCAGTGGCAGGCTAAGAATCCTCTCCCCAAATTACGTGTGAGCTTCCCCAGACCCTCAGCTTTCTGGAAGCCCTCCTCTGCCCGGGCACAGGGACGGAGTTTCATATGTACCTCACCCGGAGCGTGTCAGCGACCACCATATGAACAATCCACCAGAGCACGACAGAATCTGTCCATCTTCTTCTATCGTACGAATTCTTAACAGCAGATTACAGTTGTCATTTTATATTTGTTATCTACTCCATTGTCTGTTCAGAAACAGAGGAGATATTATTATTATTATTTGGGTCTTTTGGTAAAGTCACGTAGATAGGTTCAAAGAAAATACCAAAAAACTACGCCGTTTCGATCGCAACACAAGCGGTTGTCATCAGGCAAAGTAGTTAACCTCTGAAGGCAAAATGTGTATAAAGGTTTGGGGATGGGCGTGGAGCAAGTGTATCAGCGGAAACCAGGGACATGGGCAGGGCACCACTGCCAATGCAGCAACAATGACAATGCCGCACTACTGCCAATGCAGCAGCGATGCTAATGTGAGCAAATCTTGTCCATTCCTCCATTAAATGAGTGAAGATATCAGCAGCGGAGTGTTTACGATGTGGTCGATGGTTTAGGATCGGTGGCCGCACTCCCCGAATCTTTGATGCGCCATGCGGTGACCGCATCGGCCATGCCCCGGTCCCGTTTCAGTTGATGGTCGACCATTGGCGGCGTGGAAGGTTGAAACCGGGAGGTTTGACAGTGGGGTCCTGGACGAGGTGTTTATTTTTGACGTCGGCAGCCTTACGTTGGTGCTAAACTGGCTCAGAGGGCCAACGTGCGAGCGCCGTGCTCCACGAGCAACGTAAACAAGCGGCGGTTAGGTAACACGTGACACGCGCACAAGCCGCCCGATCTTAAACCCCACGCGGGCATCGCCACCAGCTCGCCACAACCGCCCGCCGCCGCAACACCGACCATTGCTCCCATGAAACCTCTAAGCCCGTGCGCCGCTATGGCAAAATAGATTTTTAAAATAATAAATTAAGCCACGCGCACAGCTCAATCAGCGGGCTGGTTCATTATTTAGAACGGCGGGCAGATAGCGGCCGGAATGTATAAGTCATTTTGGGGCTTTTTGTCAGCGTATTGATATTACATAAATAACGAGGACGCGTTCCGCCGAGCGAGGCGCAGCGGCCGCGGCAGCAGCCACGGCGGCGGCGAACGAGCGAACGAGCGAACGAGCGCACTCCCGGGGTGGAATTGACGCGACGCGTTCCAGTGATTTATTTGCAATGAACTTCAGGAGTCGTTCATCAGCCGAGGATGATGCGCAAACGCGTCCGATCAATTCGCGGCGAGGCTCAGCGGCCCCGGCCGGTCGTGGGTGAGGAGAAACGGACGAGTACTGTGCTCACGGTCGCCCGCTCCCACCACCTTGCTCGCCACCTTGCTCGCCCGGTTAAAGCCTCGGCAAGTATCTCAAGACTCATTTTCAGGAAGGTCCTGACAAGCTTTCATATGAAGGATGCGATCGATGCTGCTGCTGAATGTAGTCCCAATTGAGTATTTTTCAGATATTCATAATAAAGAAACGTTTTTTATGTAAAAAAATGTGTCGTTAACCCAACACAACCCGACGCAGCCAATTAGTAAGGCTCGTCACGTAAACAAAACAATTAGTTACCACGTCAGCCCACCGGTGTGTTGGAAAGTAAAGCCATAACATTTACAATGTCAGTAGGATATTTCTCTGGCAATTACATCCAGCTTCATCGAGCAATGAATAATATTGGTCGCTAAAGCATACGTGTTGAAACTAATTTTCCGGTAATTTTTCTTGTCCCATACCCGTTGCATGGTTTCTGCTCGGAAACCACAAACCCCAGAGGAAACCCACGCAGAACAGCGAGAGAAAACATTACAAAATCAACACAGAAAGGGAGCCCGAGTCTGGCATCGAACCTAGGTTCTTCTTACCCCACGAGGCACGAGTGTTACCACCGTGCCACCACATCAGCCGCTGACATCTCGGCAACATCGGTTTGATTCCCGGTCATGTAGCTCAGCGGTAATTGCGAATGGTTGCTCATTGTGCGAGGCCAGCGGACTCCAAATTAACGACGGAATGGCAGTCAAAAGGAGTGAATGCGCCCAAGAGGACACTCGACAGCTCTACCGCTGCGTGAACCACCAACCGCAACTCCACGTGGCGGGACACAGAAAAACACCCCCGTCGTACCGGCAGCACAGTAACTTTGTGCGCAAGAAGTCGGATGCCTGCACGGGAGAGGTTTAACGGACTGGCATGTTGAAATGTTTCAGCTCCAAAATATGAAAAATATTTTCAAGACAAATATTTTAGGAGCCGAACGGGAACAACGGCTGTTAAAATAACTTTGTTGTGAAAGCGCGCGCCTGCTGGCACCAGGCCGCCAATGGAGGCGAGACGACAGAGCCCCCCCCTCCCCCCCGCGTGAGCAGGGAGATGGGTGCTCGCTTCTCCTGAGCGCCTTCCAATATGCACAGTTGGCTGCGTATGGTGCAAAAGAAGTTCAACATACATACATAACAACGTAATGTCCAGCACACGAGTGGGCGATAAGACCATTGAGACACTGAATCTCCTTTTGGAGGAGACCTGGGGCTCACGCTTTTTAAGAGAAATGTTTGCTATACGTGGATTTAATTGACTTGTGGGGGCAGGGGGGGTGAAGAGGTGATGCAATGGACAGAGGAATGCGCGCAATCAACCCAGCGACGGAGACCAATTTTCAGCAGGATGGTAATTTTTTAAACGTTTGCCCAATTTCTCCTTCACGAGTGTTTTGTGTTTGAGAGCAAACCTGGGCATGCCTGGAGAAACCCCATCGTGTCTGATCATCACTCTCAACAGCCACGTTCAAATCTACAGCTGGACAAAGGCCTTCCTAAACCACTGCCACCTCCCATGAACCATCATATATTTTAAGAGATTGTTCTTATTATTAACACCCAAAGGTTGCCCGACAGATTCACAAACCCACTTGCTTTACCGCCACTTCCTGGCTGCCTCGTGGCCCCTGGGTTTGGGAATGTAATGCACCGTGATCTTTGCGTGACCCACCAACCCCGCCTGCGAATAGCTCGACGCTGCTGGTAGTTCACACAGAGGATCCCACCACCACACATCCACAGAGGGCAGTATCGATTCCTCCAAACCCCCTCCTCCCTGTAAGCCGCGGGCTCTTGCGCATTTTGCACAACGCTGCATAGAGCTCATTTGCCAGCTTCACTTCCACCTTAGGGGGGGGGGGGTAAATATGAAAAAGGCGAATGCACGGTGTGTGCGTGTGTACACGTACGTGTGTGTGTGGGGAGTAGCAGTGCAGTTGTTATAACGCGCTGCGCTACAAACCCAGCGACCAAAGATCGATTCCTGCTCACGGCCAACACAGCCAGTGACAATTATCTGAACTGGTCTTAGGCCTCCCCTAGGTCGACTCAGCCTCAAATTATCACCTGCTGCGATGTGTAAAAACATTGCCACTGGGGAGACAAAGGCGGTCGGGCGTGGTGTTTGGAACCCACCCCCTCGTGTGCCGTGCCGGCCTTCATCGGTGCTCGCTAACAGCACTTGTTACGGTGGGGGGTCTTTGTCTTTGTGTGAGACTGCCGCGTGTAAACATGATGACCGGCCATGCAAGCCTCCACCGTGCAAACTCAACAAGCATGGCAGGGAGTCGGCGGCGTAGTCCTCACAGCAACAAGGGGCCCGAGTTGAACCTAGGTTTGATTCCAGACTCGGGTGCATTTCTGCGTGGAATCCATACTTTCTCTACAGCCTGTTCTGCGTGGGTTTACTCCAAGGTTCTCCGGTTTCCTCCCACAGATTAAAAACAACAACAAAAAATCCATGGAATGTAACCGGTATTGACCAAACATCCCAAAGCTGAAGAACTGTTGGCAATTTACTCAAATGGCGTTTACGCTCCTCAGCGACCCCGCCCCTGCTGAGAAAACTTGGCAGGAGCCTCCTGAAAGAGCGTCTTGAGACTCTGCGAGGCTTTGGTGGATAACGAGCGTAATGATGATGATAAATCACAATAACTCGACTCAAGCGAATGTATTCGTGCTCACCTCTGTATTAACAGGCGGCACACGAGCCCCACAGCGTAGAAACTCGGTTCGACTCCTGGAAGAGGTGGATCCGCTTGGTCGAGATGGTGAGGACGGGGGGGGGGGGGTAGAGCCTGGGGTTGCACTGCGCACCTTCACCGCTGAGCCACTTTGCGAGGACGCGAGGGTTTGATTCCCGTCACAGCCACCCAGTGAGTTCTGCAAGGAAAGGAGCAACACAGCTGTTAAAGGAACATCTGGTGAAGATTCCTCATTCCCATAGCAGGGGCAAAAATGGCCTTGAACTCGTGACCACAGTGCCACCTGGCCAGAGAAAATCGTGCGTACAGCCCCTTCAGTCACTCCACTGCGGAGAGAGGGCCTCGCCATGCGATGCAGGGCGTGGGATGTTTTTGACCAAGAATTACGACGAGCGGTCAGCGTGGGTTGGTGAAGGCAAGGGAGCCATGGGATGCGGGAACAAAGAAGTACAGTGACGCGATGGATTCCGTCGCTCTCCCCTCTGCTGCCGAGCACGTAGCTCCACAGCAGCCTATAGCGACCTGATGTCCAGCGGTCACCTATCCAAGCAATACCTCGCCTCGACCCGAATAATATAGACAAAGAATGCCTCAACTTAACTACAGCAGAACAAACCCATTGTGGAGGTGGTGTGCAGGAGGTGGCGTGCCCCATGGAGGTGTGCGGCACAGTGCAGCTCTGCCCGCTGCTGCACTCCCTCCACCTCTGGGGTTGTGCAGCAGTATGCATGCACAATGAAGCCATGCAGCCGTGCTCACCGCTGCACCCCATCCCCTCTGGAGGAGGAGTGCAGCGGTGTGAGTGCAGCGTGCAGCCATGACAAGGCTGTCTGTCGCCTTCCACCCACGCCAGTCGCAACTAACACAGCACCCATTCCTGATGACGTCGCACACATGCCATGTCGCTCTCCCAGTAATCAGGTGTAAACACCCCGGGATAAACTGGAGTAAGACGAGCGAAAACGCCAGTTATCCAGGTTTACCTGGGGTCCAAACCCCCGGTAACCAAGTGAAGCCCCGGATAGTTAGCGCAGGCAACTGGAACCCGGGGCAGGCGTCCTCCACATTACTCGGAGAAGCAGAAGTCTCCTGTACCGCTCGTTCAAATCCCGGTTTCCATCGCCAGTATTAAGACTGGAGATAAACTTTCGCCCGAATAAACACATTTGTAGGTCATCGAGTACACAAACACGCACAAATTAAAACAACACCACAACAACAAATTATTATGCAGTCAGCACGCGCGCAACCGTCCTGTTTCACGGCTCGTCAAAATTCTCGGGCAATGAAATTTTAGTCTCGGGCAAATAAAATGCAAGATCTTACTGCCCCAGCGGGCGAGTAAAACAAGCGCGCAATTTCCTGCACGCGCCGCGGTAAATAAGCGCGGCCTGGGCTGTGCCGGAGTGGCCTCGGGGGCCCGCAGAGAGTCGGGCGGCCCCATCCCCCCCGCACCCTCTACCCCCCCCCCCGTCCGTTACGGCGGCACAAAAGGCGGCTCGCGGGACAAACCGAGCGCCGCTTTTGAGTTGTGCAACTTGGCTGCACATTACGGTTCTGTCTACCGCCAGTTTAACCCCTTCCCCGTTCCAATGACGTACGTACGTACGTGTGCGTCGTCAGTTTTCTTCCGATTCTAATCCGATTACGAACGCTCACGTCATCCCAACGGAATCCAATCGAATCCAAACACAATCGGAAGTAAAGGGCCATGCAGGAGGGCGTTTGGCACAGTTTGATGCCAGCTATCACAGAGTGCTGTCGTGTCGCTACAGTTCTATGTGGTGAGTACATTGTCTTTAAAAACAACGGCGCTACGCCTCTCCAAATAAAATAAACGCTAACCGCTTGCGCGTTCCAAGATTCAGTGGTGAACGGGCCACCCACCCTGCAACATGCAGACGTCTCAAAACGGGAAAGGGTTAAAATCACGTCCAAGTGATTCCTCCTGCTCAAGGGAAGCATAGAGTCGGTGATCATCTCTCCAGGTTTACAGCCCCGAGAACGTGGCGGAAATTCCTCGTTTCTATGACAGTTGCGAGACCCACTGTAGGACAACCAATGTTGACTTCGCACAAAAGTGGTACTCGTTTTATGGACGATGATGGGGCTGGGGCTTGCAGGCCCGGGCTAGGTCACGCGGTGATGCACGGTACGACGTGGTGGCACTCAGCATATGGGGTGGGGGGGGGGGGATTCATGGCGGCCATTGCTGCATTGATATTAAAATGAAAATATCACCGGTTTCCAATCCAAAGGGTCGCCGAATCTACGGCAGTTTAAACCGTTGTGCAACTTTCTACCAAGCGGCATAAACGGATTTCACCACAGTTTAGCCGTCGGCAAGTCAAGCGTGGCAGGGTAAACAGTGGGTTACTCCTCCCACACCTCTTCCCAACGTGGCAGAGTCAAAGCTTCCGAGCCATAACGAAACAAGTGGGAAAAAAACCCCGCAGACGGCCACACGACTTGGACATGTGGTGAACGCAGCTCGCCACGAGAACCAGGGACATCACAACGCTCGTCGACGACAGCCGCTCAACACTTCACTGCCGTGGACCTGGCCTTGCTGACATCACCCTCCGAACGGGAGTGGACCGCTCCAAGGGTCAACCTGCGGCAGTGGGGCCACTCCATCGACACTGACACCCATGTGACTTCTAGTGAGACGCAGATCATGTACGCATGTATGATGAACTTCTTTTGCACCGTACATAGTCATACGTGCTAATTGGAGGTGCGGTGGAAGGACAACAATCTAAACACGAGCAGTTCTAAAGTAATGAGTTTTCAATCTAGATGATGATTAAAAAGAGCAAAGCTCCAGTGGCTTCCTAATATCAGAAGGAAGAGCATCTCCAGACGGCCGCAGAAGCGCATCTGAAAGCGCGCGTTGCGGTGACCGTCTTAGTTCTACGGCCAACAAAAAGCCACTGCAAAGATGACCGGAGTTCGCGTGATGGTTTATTCTCCATGATGAGATCACAGAGCATCCCCTTGGCCTGTCGGCTCCTGTGGGAGTAACGCACCGTGGAGGACCTCACCAGGGCTACACACCGGGCAACCACCTCACCTCATCATCACCACGTGCCCGATAACCGGACACACGTGCGACTGCGGCGTTGGGGCACGATAATTAACTGCGGACCGTGGACGAGTCGACCCAATACCCTCTAGGGCTCCCTCTAGTGGAGGCCCCTTCCACCAGCAGCGGCACGAGCAGGCAATCGCAGGGGATGCACTATTCTGCCTGTCGTCTGCCCTTCAAAGAAGAAAGGGGGCGAACGTGAACCGAACTCTGTTTTCGCTGCGGAGGAAAGAGTCGGTTGGAAGGAGTGCAGGGAATCCGGTTTCTTCAAAGGCCCTCGTGCACGCGCCTTGGCCAGTGTGGTGGAACGAGCCAAGGCTTTGTGCTTTGGCACCGTGTCCCGCTGTTGTGGTTGGAGATAAGAAGTCACCCTAATGGGGGCTTCAATCCCAGGCTGGGATTGATTAAACAGACCTATGAATGTTTTCATAGCCAGAGCTCACGTAAAATATGGCTCGGTAAGTGTTACAACATAAAGATGCATGTACGTATTCGTTATTTTATTATTTATCATAATGATTATTATGATTAGATCGCTTGCTTATCCACAACAGCCTCAATGAGCCTCAAGACTAATTTTCAGGAATAGTTCTGCAGTAAGGAGCGATAGTGCTATGCACACTCGCAATCCAGTAATTTGCAGGTAATCTTTCAACATTTGCATATTTGCCCTAGCTATGGGAGGAAACCCGAGAACCCAGAGGAAGCCCAATGCAGACCAAGGGAAGAACGTACAAACATCAAGGGCCCGAGTCAATCAAATCCAGGCCCCCTCTTCATCTTGCAGTGTGGCACAAGTGTCGTCACGCCACTCGTGTCACCCCCCGTGCCACCCGACGTGAACCTGGGTGAATACTCACGCGAGCACAGGGGGCAGATCCACTTCCCCACACAAGACAAAGATCCCCTGTATAGCCCGAACAGATCTTTGGGGCAAGTGCTATGAGCGAGTACCTATGAAGGCCTTCCAGGGCATACGAGGGGGTGTGTGTGGCCAGCACCATGCCCTACCGCCTTTGTCTCCCAACTGGCAACATTTACACATCGCACCAGGTACTCGTTTTAGGCGGAGTCGACTTAGGGGAGGCCAAGAACAAGTTCAGATAATCTCAACTGGTGTTGGCCATCGAACTGGGGCCGTCGTGTTTGTAGCGCAGCGCGATAACCACCGCGCACGCCACCACTCCCCACTTCCCCACACGCACGCAGCAAGGCAGTCAATCACCGCGCGCTCACACCTTCACCCACATAATCAAGGGGTAACAGATAAAACGGCACAGGCTGCTTGACACTACTGGGGTGCAGAGGGCAGTTCTCCGCTAATAGTTTTACAACAGGGCGCCCTTAAAAGCCGATGATGCGTTAACCGCGCGCGGCCTACCGGAGCGTCTTTGGAAAAATACAGTGGCCATGATTACGGCGCTGCCCTTGTAAGAGGTCACAAGGTGAAACTGTAGACAAATCCGTGCCGCCATTGAGCCAGGACCCCTTTGCTACATGGCCATTATTGTTGGTTAATTGCGTTCACTGCGGTTACGCTGCTAGGCTCTGTGGGACCCTCACAGCGAGATAAGGGGCTGGTGGATCGTCTCCGTGGACGATGGAAATTTCGCAGGAATATTTTTTTCTCTCGCTCGCACTCTCTCTCTTGCTCCTGCACAGCCCAGCCGGTCCTCAATCTATTGTTGGGTCACAGCACCGAGGGCTATTATTAGACCCCACCGCTGCACTCGTGTCGAGCGCACGCATGGCCTGTGTATATTTTACGAGGATAATTGTCAAGTGAAGCAACGCACGCCACGCTAGTAGGAATGGCTAGTCAATAATCTAGCGAGCGCAAACGGGGCGCCCACCTCACTCGCCGGCCGACGCCGTCGTTTACTCGGCCCCGTTAAGAGTCCTGTTGGGATAAAATCGCCCTCGGTTTGGGAGAAACCGACGCGGGCTCCATCGCTTCACGTGCGATACAATTCGCAACACAATCCGTATTGGCAGTCTCTCGACCAAGGACGTACGCATTTGTTTTTTCTGCCAGTTGCATCAGCCCCCCACCCATACCCCCCACCCCATGTCCACAGTAGATGCAGCTG